GATCCTTCTCTCGCTCGCACCGCGTTTTTCGCGGACGAATGTAATATTTGGTCGAAATGTCCCGCGCCGATCTGAAGGGTAGTGCAAAAAAAAAAATAAATTGCAAATACAATAAAAACGGGACACTTTGAGTGACGCGATCAGGGCTGGGTCGCCTCGCCTCAAATCAGCCAGGGGCCGACGCACGACCCCCTCCAGTTTTTCGGGTATGGGGACGTTTTGGCACAATAATTCGATAATTGCTTGCGAAATTTCAAATTCTCTTCATGCTCAAGTGGACCGAAAACTTTTCCACCTAAACGAACGCAGCAGAACCATTGCTCTACAACTATGTAAGAATTTAAGTTGTTGAATGTTTCATATATTATCTTCCTTCAGGCAACATTGAAGGAAAAAAACGCTGTCGAATTTGCTCATTTTTGGCATTTTCTCATCTTTTTAAATTCCATTGCACTGATGAATTAAAAAGTGACCAAATGTTAAAGAACATTTTTTCAGCCTTAAAATCAACGATTGGGGTCTGAATAATAAAGTACGTCATTCATTAAAAAATGCTCTCTTTTGCTGAAGCAAAAGGCAAAACATCCTAGAAAATTTCGAGCTTCTTGAACTCCACAGAAAATGAGATACAATAGAAAACGGTTGGGAAATTTGGGACTTTCGCTTATTACGAGAAATCGCATCTCCTGAAGCGGAGTTTGCTGGGAAAAATAAGGGACGCAAAATTAGATCTTCGCTGATGAATATATCATGCTAACATGCTGATGCTTTGCAAATTTGGGTCGAAAAGTTTTCGGCCCATTATGAATGGACACATCGAACTTGGAATTCTTTAAACTTTTTATCCCTTCGTTTCAAATGCTTCGTAAAAACGCATTAAAAAATTTTCAGTTTCAAAGAAATTCGTCGAGGGTGGGGCTTGAACGTGAATCTTCGGAGGAAATCACAAGTCCCATGGATGCAAAAAAAAAGTGATTACGATTAAATACCAGTCTCATTTTCCGGGTCAGCAAAATTTCATCGACCTGCAAAAATGGTTTGACAGCCGACCGAAAACGACATCTTTGTCCATATTTTTCGGCATAAACGAATTCCGAATCTCAGAGAAGAGGAGCATAAAAATCGTGGAAGTCATTAAAAAAATGACTGAACTTGTACTTAAGGTTCATGAGAAATTTTAGGGTAAAAAATAAATGCATAGGACAACCCTTCGTGTTTCACGTCTGATATGGACCCGACGTTGTCAGTGCGTAGATGGTAAGGATGGCAAGGACCGAATCTAAGTAATGCGACTGGGAACAAAAAATATCTTACTCACCGTGGATGGGCTAGAACCCAGATGGAACATTCCTGACTGCACCCAGGAAAAAAAAAGCTTTTGCCCAGAAAAAAAAGGGTAGAACAAAATCTACTCCCTATCGCTAACACAAGAGAATACGAAAAAAATATGAAAAAATACGAAAAATTATGCAAAAAAGCGAAAAAATATGAAAAAATACGAAAAAATGCAAAAAATACGAAAAAATGCAAAAAATACGAAAAAATGCAAAAAATACGAAAAAACCCAAAAAAATAGGAAAAACCCAAAAAAAGTACGAAAAAAACCCCAAAAAATGCGAGAAAATGCGAAAAAATACGAAAAAAATGCAAAAAAGAAACGAAAATGCAAAAAAATTACTAACACAAAAAATGAGAAATACAAGTTTACAAAAATGACGCAAATGAACAAGAAAAAAAAAATCGAAAAAGAAAACTAGAAAACGAAAAAATCCAAAACGTACCCCAAAAAACTAACAAAAAACTAAGCAAAAAAAATACGGGCAAAAGGAACGGGAGAAAACGTGCGGAATGGTAGGTGTGGCGAGCAAGATAGCAAGACAGCGAATGAGCGCCAGATCGGGGAAAGACCACCAAGCGAACGAAAATCTCTCCTGCCATCTACAGGCGACCCGTCTCCGCCAATCAGGAGTCGAGGCTGCACCGTGACGTCATGGAAGGCGCGCCTCCCCTTCGCGGGATGGCGGGGGGGGGGGGCGGTCGTCTTGCGCGCTTTCCCTGCATCGCAGAGGACCTCGAGTCGCGCGATGGGTTCAATCATTTAATTTTCTCAGGAAAAAAAAAATATAATGGAAAAAAAAGTAAGGTGCGTATACAACGCGTTTTAAAGCCTCGTAAAACTTTTTAAATGAATGAATTTGGGTCATGAGGGATACCAATAAAAAAAAAGACGATTCCATCACAAAGTGAAAATGAGCGTAAAATCCATTTTCGATTCAATCCCAGGTAATGAATTAATGAGAGTTCAATTGGTGGGAAAACCAAGTCCCAGGGAAATTTCACCAACGATTATCGTCCAGGTTCCAGGGAGTGAAATATTCTTCTTTTAAATGAATGGAACATTTTTTTTCCGGCCAATTTTGTAGATATTATCAACTTGAATTCCATTGATGAATACCCACACCCCTCTGAAGTCAAAATTGAGACATCGATCGTTCGCAGACTTGACAATGAACCCTTTCCTGTGTTCATTACGTGGGGTAACTTTCGAGTGTCCGGCCTTGGGACGTAGTGATGATTTCCAATCGATGCAGGATATCGTCTGAAGCGAAAGGGAGACGGGGCGGTTCACTTTCCCCCGGGAAAGAGACGAGAGGTGGTCGCGTTTAAGTGGAAACCCAAGGAAAAGCAGACAGGAAAACCGATGGAGGAAGGTTCTCTGGATGGCTGCAAGGCAGACGGTCGACCTCGATAAGCGAGGCGAGAAGGGACGTCTGACCTTGGGACGCGTCCCCCCCCGCGCGATGAATTCCCTCTTCCATTCCAAGGCGGAAAATAGGCGAGCCTCTATGCAAACAGCTGATTTGTGACCTCCGTCGCGATTGACGGTCTCGGTCGTGCGGGTTCACTGGGTGAGAAACGCATCACCCCAAGCTGAAACCTACTTTTTTTTTTCTTCAGGGCAGGGGTTTCAAACATCCGGCCAGCGAAGGTGGTTCATCCGGCCCGCCGTCTGCTCTTGAAATTTCCCCTTGGATTGACTGTTAGCAAAAATTTCGGTGAAAAAGTAAGGGTGCGGTCCGCAGGCATCTGCAGGAAAAGGAATACGGCTCAGCCGACCGATTTGACACCTCTGCCCTTCTGCTCTTGAAATTTCCCCTTGGATTGACTGTTAGCAAAAATTTCGGTGAAAAAGTAAGGGTGCGGTCCGCAGGCATCTGCAGGAAAAGGAACACGGCTCAGCCGACCGATTTGACACCTCTGCCCTGGGGGAATCCGATTCACGGAAGTATTCTTGATCTGGTGCGTATCTTCCGGTGCCTCTCGACGATTCCCAAAACCATCAAAAATTTCATTCTAATCTGTCCAATTTTGTTCGGCACGAGGAATAAAACAGCTTTCGATAACGACTGGACCATTTACATGGGTCGATTTCGGTGAAGGTTCTTCCGATGAGAAATGCATCGTGATGCATCAGTCAATGCTGGGGAATCGGCCAAAGAATGGCTTTCGTTAAATCCCACGCTGAATCGAAAATAACTCCCAATTTCGGCACGAAGGACGTCGGCCCAGACGAGCCCGCCCCCAGACAATTCTGAAACCACGGCTGTGTTCATTCCTGTTTCCATTTCCATTCCATTCGACGCGAGATTCCCCTGTACATGAAAAAAATACTCAACGAAGCGGATTCCTCCATCCAACTGAAAGTTAATCACGATGGGTAATTAAATGCATGCAAACTGGGAATGGAGAGGGTGACGTGTTCGATGGCGTCATTTGTCAGTTCCGGAGGTCCTCCATTCGAAAAAAAATTACCTAGAATGGAACTCGTTCCCATTCTTTTGACCAACGATTGACGTTTTTTAAATTGATTTTTATGTAGCAATATGTAAATTAGCGCAATCAAGTTAATGAAGTCGATGACCCCTTTTCCATCTCTCTCATGGGACTATGCGTTCATCGTCTGACACCCTCTCCAAAGAAAATATTTTTATCTTTTGGAAAGGAAGGGATAAGCAGACGTGCACTCCGGAAAAAGAAGGAAACGAAAGCGGTATATTCCGAGAATTTTTTTTCCGTCTGGAAAAGAATTCCCCAAGGGGGAATGCCGCGACACCACGTCGGCGGCAGATTTCCCTTCGATTCGGAAAGAGGGAAGGTCAGAGGAAAGGTGGAGGCCATGCACGCGGGCGGGACGGGGGTGGAGGAGGGAGCTCCACCGTCTCTTCCTCTCATTCTGGAGTTGACTTCCGTGTGTACTCATCGAGCCTCGACCCGCTTCTCCTACACGCCGGCCTTTCGATGGTATGAAATATGTTCTTCCCAGCTGGGTAGACACATCTCTGCCATAATAGCCCGTCCACCTTTCGTCGTTGCAATGCGTAATTGATTACGGGAAGGGACAAAGGAATGCCATTCGCTGCGAATCCTAATTTGAGTCTGTCTACTTGAAGACCATTTGCACTGTCAAGCATCGAACCAATTTCGCAGCATGGTCTAGTCCAGCCACTTTCGTGCTGGAGTTCCCTCTAATTCAGTGGTTCTCAACCTAGAAGGTGTCCCCCCCCCCCCCCTCGAATGCATGAATGTTCAATGGAAGTAAAAGGAAGGTTGAGACCACTGCTCTAATTTATTTATATTGGTTGGACCAAAAATCGTTTGGGTTACTCAGGAAAGGAGTGGGATCCCTAGGTTCCCCTTCTAAACGGGACGGTATAGTGGTGTTTTTTGTTTGAAATGTATATGAATTACGGTTTACCAATGTAATGTGATTTAAATGTGGGTGACCATATCTAATGAATGGGCTCAGTAGGTATAGCCGTATTTCATTGAAAAATTTCGATCTACTTCGTACGTATTCGGGCATGTAGATGTCTGAAGGAGTCCTCGGTATCATTTGAGCGAAGAATTTTTCCATTTGAATTTCAGGACAGTCGTTTAATTTTTCCTGCAATCGAATTGGAAAAAAAAGCGGTAGCGGGGACTTTCGGAATTAGTTTTCGGCATTCCGTAGTTTAATGTCGAGAAAGTAATTACTGGATGGTCTTAAAATTACTTTTGTTGAGCTTTCAGTCCGATTGTTGGCAAGCGATTCTGATGAAAATTTGCAGGCGTGTAGACAAGCTTATTTTGAGGTGTGTGCGGCATTTCCAATCAAATTTCCAGATACTGAATATTTCATATTCCTGGTTTCCTTACTGTTGCCAGACGCGAGAATGTGCACGACCTCTGTTTTGGCATAGTGCTTTATTTGCTCCAGCTCTAGCGGCTCCATAGACCGCTCCCGCAGCCCGTAGCCAGTCTCCATGGGCTCCTCACCCAATTGGGGACAACTGAGTGGCCGTAGATGATGTCCTTCCTTGGGGTGGGTCTGTGGTTTTCTGGGAAGCCATGATGATCAGCAGCCCAGATTCGGCACCGGTGTCCCCATCACTCCCCTTCATTATGGAGGGAACTTTTCTAAAGGTAAATTTGGTAAGACATCACGTTCTTTTTTTCATCTGTTCATGGATGAGGTTCTCTTAAAGCAACCAAAGTAAATTCATAATTTCCCAGGTGTTTGGTGAATGAGAGGGCCTTGAAGACCCCTTCTCCATCGCATACCCGCCCAGCATCACCAACCTTACCGGAAATTCTTGCTGAGCAGTTCTTCCTGGAAGCACCAAGTTCAGGTTAATTGAATTCTTTTATCTTCGATGTTGAATATTTATCAGTTTCTAAAAGTCATCACTGAGTAATGCCTATCTCCGTTTCACTTGTAAGACCAAATCTAATGGGAATAGTGGACCTTTCTATGGATTTAAAGTAAATATGGTGTTAGTGATGGCATTAAGAGGTGCGATTGAATGCCCTGGGTTCGGTGGTGTAGTGTTAGCACCCCTGACCGGCAATCAGGAGGCCAGAGTTCAATTCCCGGCCGTCCCCTGGCTCTTTCGCCCTCTCATGCCATCCAACTCCTTCTGCAGGTGACTAATGCATTATATAAATTCATCTTGGAAACATATGTATATTTTTGTTTATGGCAAGAATCAATTGACGCAATTCTTCTTGTCAGGGTCATGTTTTATATGGTGACAGGAAATGTAGGAATGGAAATTTATACCAATGTTTAATTTGCTGATACAGGGTGTGCCCCAGACCCTTCCATGGAGAGAGGGGAGTTCTATTGAGGTCTGCCCGGACCGAGGGGGAGAAGCTCCTATTGTGGCCCGTCAACTATAACCCATAGTTAAAAGGCACATGTGGGGTCAGTAGGGACGCCCTGAAGTGCAGAGCTTTGAGCTCTCAGGCTTGTTAGGATAATAAGGATCTGGTTGCTTCAGAGGATTTCGGATTTTTTTTCCCCTTTTATTAATCAGCTAACTGCCTCGCGTGAGCTTCCTTCGCTTGTTGAGCCTATTGCTATCCCAAATATTAACTTTAATAAATTGGCGTCTAAATGTGGAATTAATATACAAGGATTTAAATACTATGAAGCAAAAGTCTTCTAATTAAACTGATACCTAACCTCAATATATACAAATAAAGTATGCTTGAACTAAGACCAAATCTTTCTAGTTCCCTTCGACCTAACTTAACGTGGCCTTGTCTACTCTAACCATCCGTAGCTAACGTGGTTTTAGTGCTAACCCCTGACCTTAACCAACCATAACCTTGTCTAACTCCATAAAATTCACAAGGTCACGTTGAGCGAACATATTTGATTTGAAGGAATGAAAAGATCCATGATTCTAATGGTATAAATGGTGCCTTTCGTTGCAATCACCAGTGCAATTTGATGGCAACCAGGAAACAAAATTTATCGGTTCAAACGTATCATCTATTTTATTTATATATGTATATATTGAGAAGGTATTGAAGATTGCAGTATTTTATTTAACTGAATTACATGTCTCTCATCGAGCTAAATTGCTTTAGATTGATGCATGCCTTTAACTATAATTGAACCTTCGTATCAGCAGTCGGTCTCCAACTTCGCTCTTCAAGGTCTATTTGATGTAGATAGGTTTCTCTTCATGTGGGAGGGGAGTACTAATTTAGTTGGAAAATTGTGAGAAGATACCTTGTTGGATTTTTTTGGGATATTGAATTTTCTCTGCACTGAGTGGAGAGGGATAGGACTTTAGTTTCACACGTCCGAAGTTAGTCCTTTTCTTGAAAGCTGTTAAGTTTCCACCATTTGCCGCTGGTTCCAATTGGACGACTTGATCCTTGATGCTTCCAATACTAGACCCCGAGCTTCCCCAGTCAAGTTAGGCATTTACAGAATGTGGGTGACATGAGTTGATGTAGCAAAAGGTCACAAGGTCTTGGAGTTTGCTCCGTGGTTGGTTTCCTGAGAGGAAAGCGCCAGCTTTATTGAGGTGAGTCAGTCTCTTAGTTGCAACTTACTTTCACAACTCCTGTCTTGATTGTTTATTCTTCAAAGTTCATTTTTTTTCATTCTTACTTCATTTTTATTTTTTACCTTGGTTGCAAGGTTGGTGCAGGCACAAGTGTGGCAGGGCCAGGATGGCCTCATCTACCATATGGGCTTCGCATCGGCTCCGAGTGCACTTACTCCAACTACTCCATTTCCGCTCCACGGACTCCTCACATGATCAGGGACAACTGGGTGGACGTGACTAACGTCCCCCCTAAGGAGAGTGATGAGGGAATCTGGGGTTGTGCGACGGCCAGCGACTCTGATTCAGTACTTGTCACCTCAACCCTGAAGGGGCCTGTTCCATCAAGAATGGTTATTTGGGGATAGGTCCCTTTTTTGAATGAGGCTTTTGGATGGGATTATCGGAAATGAAGCAAGTAAAATGCACCAATTCCAGGTGTTGGGTGAAGGAGGATACCTTTTTCCAGCAAGAGCCTCCTTCTCCATCGGCTCCCAGCTCAGCATCTCCAAGTGCACCGGAACATCTTGCCAAAGATGCATCATCTCCCCATAGGCAGCAAGTTCAGGTTAATTTTGTTTTATTATTTTCTTTCAAGTCTTTCCAATTGTAACTGTAACTTTTGAAAAGTATTCCAACATTTTGATAGTTGTATCACTGCTAACATATTTTCTATACAGGGTGTTCGTATTTAAATGCAACAGGGAATATTTGCAGCCTGTAGGTGGAGGTCAGCGAACGCTCTAAGGCTTGCCGGGTTAGCCTATCTGCAAGGAAACTCATCAGTGACCATCATTCACTGGACTTCATCCTTCCAGATGTGCAACCCGGTGAGCCGTAGGGTACGCGGGAACTCCACAAACAGGCGGCAAAAGTTTCCCTATGTTGCGGTATATCCGGTGGGCCGGATGATTCAGGGGTGATTAGGGCCACGACGAAATTGCCACACCTTATCTTTAATGCAAACAGGCTGAAATTGGCAGTATGTTTCCGTAACCAGCTGTTGAAGAGGACTTTGTGGGCCGGACGAAATGGACTGGCTGGCCGGATCCGGCCTGCGGGCCGCCAGTTTGACGCCCCTCCTTCAGCTCATAAATCGTACGCGGATTTTTGGCAAATACTTAGTCTTGAATGGTAACCCACAGCCAGAAGTCGGGTGGAGCTTGGTCCGGCGACCTGGGTGCCTGGGTGGATCAGAATTATTTATGCATCAAATTGTTTTTGAAACGGGTGAATTACGTCAAAGGAGGGACGATTCCTGAAGCTTAGGGAGATGACCTTGGCCACCTGTCCTTGCAGACAAGGCCTTGCTACATCACCGTGGGAGGAAGAACTGAAAGTAAATATTTGTAACATTTTCAAAGATTGTTATACTGTTAAATAACTTCACATTTCATTTTTTAAACATTTATTTTAACCTTGTTTTCTTCCATATGTATCCTATATTTCTTTATGCATTTCTTCATATATATTGCACCATGTTTACTCGTCACTAAGGGACCTATCCAAAGTTCAATCTGTGTTCCTGGTGAATGAAATTTCGTTTTCGTGAAATTCTGCATACAATCGAGCTAGACAAAAAACTGCCAGAACGAAACCTTTCGGAATCTAATCCTTTAAGGTTTGGAATTCGTTCTTTATTCAGTAGTTGAAGGTCTGCAGGAGATTCGGCAAAAATAAAATTGGTATTGCTATTACCTGGGGACAAAAAAACTGAACTTTCGATGAAATTGCTTGTTGGCGTTTCTGATGAAACTCTTGGGAGCAAATACGGCAACTCAATTTCAGATGTGCGGAATTTAATACATTTACAAATGCTAACAATATCTAATATTCCTGGTTTCCTTCCTTTTTTTTCCTTGTGTTGCTTCAGCTGCTCCATCACTAAGTGCTTCATTGACCGCTCCCCCAGCTCTTAACCGGGCTCCTCACCCGATCGGGGACGACCGAGTGGACATGGCTGATGTCCCCCGAGAGGAATCGGGCCGAGGGGTTCTAGAGAGGCGAGATGCTCAACGACCCTGATTCGCCATCGGTGTTAAAGTCACTCCGCCTCAACAATGAGGTAATATTTTCTGCACATATGTAATTGTGGTAAGAGATCAATTTCTTTTCATTGTTCATGGATGAGGTTCTCTTTAATGAAATGCACCAATTCTACTCCAGGTGTTGGGTGAGTGGTACGCCATTCTTCAAGCGGGTGCTCCTTTCTCCATCGCCTAGCATCTCAAAGCCTGCCGGAATTCCTCGCCGAGCAACAATTGTTATCTCTCAAGAGGTACAAAGTTCAGGTTAATTGTCTCATTGATGAATATTCAGCATCAAACATATGATTACTAGACATGGATAGGCCGAATTTAAAAAAATATAACTATCTCCCTTTCACTTGTAAAACTAAATCTATTGTAGTTAAATCCATAGAAAGGGATCAACTGAAGTAAATCAATCTGGCACGGTGAAATATTGGTTTTTTGTCCTGCCCTTTCCTTATCCTGGAATTCAATTGGAACAAATTTCTTCCCCTCAAATCAGATAATCATGTGGAATAGCCTTCTCGCATCTTCAATTTTTTGATAGGGAAGTTCACATCTTGTTATGCTTACATAAATACTTTATATACGCAATCATTAATGCAGAAATGCACATTTATATGTATGTCTTTTCATGGCAAGACTCAATTGATGTAATTTTTCCTATCAGGGTCATGTGTTTCATGAGAGGAAGTGTATAGACATCGAAATTCACCTGCATAATTGCATTTTTTGCTGATACAGGGTGTGCTCCAGACCCTTTCATGGAGAGGGGAGTTCTAATGAGGTCTACCCGGACAGAGAAGCAGCTCCTCGTGGCTCGTCAAATATAACCCATAGTTAAATGGCACCTGTAGGGGCAGTAGGGACGTCTTGAAGGGCAGAGCTCAGAGCTCTCAGGCTCGTTAGCATAGTCTGGAACTGCTTGCTTCAGAGTTTCGGATTTTTTCCCATTGATTAGCATATCGCCTCACTCTAGCCTGTTTCGTTTGCTGAACCTGTTTTCGCCTCAAAAATTAATTATATTAAATTTGTCTCACTGTAATTAAAATATTGTTACTTCGAAGCAAATACTTGTGAATAGGAGTGAAGGAACTTCTATACCTAACCTCAATATATACAAATAACGTAAGCTTGAACTAAGACCAAATTTTTCTAGTTGCCTTCGACTAAACCTAACGTGGCCTTGTCTACCATAACCATCCTTGGCTAACATGGCTTTAGTTCTAACCCATGACCCTAACTAATTAACTAACCCTAACATCGTCCAACTCCACTAAGTCACATGACATGGTCACGTTGGGTAATTAGAACGTAGATTGAAGTGAAATAGTTCCACACTTCTCATGGTATGATAAATGCTGCCTTTTGTAACAAGCACCATTCTAAGTTTGAAGGCAACCATGGGACTACATTCAAATCAATACAAATGTTCAAATCAGCGCAAACGTTGTCTACTTGATTTATATATATATATATTGAGGGAGGTATTGTTAAAGATTGCAGTGTTTTAATTTTCTCAATTACATGTCTTCCATCGAGCTTAATTGCTTCAGATTGATGCATTGCAGCAATTATAATTGAAGCTTTGCGAAAGTCTGTCTCCAATTTTGCTCTTCAAGAGCTACTGGAATTTGATAGGTTTTTTATTTTCGAATGAAGTACTAATTCAATTAGGAAATTGTAAACACTTTCTATGAATTTTTTTGGATATTGTGTTTTCGCTAGGTTGAGTTGAGTGGGACAGGACTTGAGATTCATGGGTAGTCCTGAGGTTAGTCCTATAGTTAAAAAGTAGTTCAGTTTCTCCATTTTGCCGCTGGTTCCAATTAGATGACTTGATGTTCCCTGCTGCTTCCCATGCAAGACCGTGAGCTTCCCCAGACAAGGTAGTCATTTACAGAATGTGGGTGACATGAGTTGACGTGGCAAAAGGTCATAAGGTCTTAGCCAGAGTTTGCTCCTTGGTTCACGAAGAGTTTCCTCCCCGAGAGATCGAGAGTGGAAGAGGAAAGCGCCTTTCCTGGAGCTTCAAGGAGGTGAGAAAGTGGTACTTAGTTGCAACTTTAAAGAAAAATTCAAGACAGTAGTTATGAACGAAAGTTCATTTTCTTTAAATTCTTACGTTTTCTTTTACCACTGCTGCCAGGTTGGTTTAGGCACTTGTCAATCGTGTCGGAATAGCAGACACAGAAACCGTTACCTTGGTGGGAGGACCATGATGGCCTCATCCCAGATTGGCCTCTGCATTTGCTCCAGGTCCTATTGCTCCATGCACTCCATTTTCATCGCCTCCATGGACCGTCTGCAACCCAGCTCCACGGACTCCTCACCTGATCAGAGACGATTAGGTGGACATAGCTGGCGAAAAAGATTTGAAGTACTCATGTGAGGCATAATGGGCAGCGACTCTGATTTAGCACTCATCTCAACCCCGAAGAGGACATTTCCACCAGAAATGGTCATTTTGGCGAGAGATCCCATTCTTTTTTTAGGGATAAGGTTATCCTAAATGTACCAAGTAAAATGCACCATTTATAGTGCAGGTGTTGGGTGAGAGAGGAGACTTTTTCCAGCAGAAAACGCCTTCTCCATCGCCTCCCCGCTCAGCATCTCCAAGTACACCGGCCACTCTTGCCGAACTTGCGTCATTTCCTCACATGCAAAAAGTAGAGGTTAGTCGTGTTCTTTTAATCCTTAAAAATTGAAACAAGACTATAGGTTCTGAAATAAAGTATTCAGTTTGTGTGAGCTTTGTCACTGCGAGTAAATTTTCAATATACTGCATTTCCTCAGAAAACTTTTCTTTCCCGTATCTAATGGCAATTGTTTACTGAAATTTTTCTATAGTAATAGTGTGTTCTGCTACAATCTGCGGTATTCTATTGGTTCCAAGACATCTACAGGGTGAGTCAACGGCGTCTTTGAACGGCTGGAACTCGACAGGAAGAAAATTTTGGACAAACGTATTATTTTTTTTGCTTAGGAAAGAGCAAGGGGCAAGAGCTTAGGAAAGGAAAGATAATTGACGTAAATGGAACGTGAACCTTTTTTTTTTTAACTAAGTGACGGTAATTGCTTGACATAAGGCACCGTCAAGCTTGATCACTCGGCGAAGCCGAGTCGTCATTGAATGGCAGGTTGTTACACACATGTCGAAGTCAAATCCAGCAATATTCTCATTGACGCGTTGCCTTAGGTCATATATCGTGCGGATATTTTCGGCAAATACCTGGTCTTGGATAAAGAACCCACAGCCGGATGTCGATTTGAGTCTGGTCTGGCGACCTATCCACTTGTCTTTGAAGTAAGACGATGCTTCGATTCAAGGTTTCCTCCACAAATAGATATCAAATGACCGACGGCGACGTTCTCCCAAGAAAGTGTATCGGGCATTATCATGCTGCCTGCCGAGTTATAGCTGCTCAAAGTCGTTCAGTGACTTTTAACTTACCCTGTACATGAACCCTCACAGGCTAACCAAGTGCTCCTTTTTTCCCCCTTCATTTCAATTTCAAAACTGCATGGTCCCATTGGAGTGAGGTCCCATGAATTTTTAAAAGTACTAATTGGTATATGGTTTCCAGCGTATGAGGACATGAAGCTATTCCATGTTTGCTCGGAAAGAAATGCTGAAAATTTAACTTCCAGTGTCGAATTGCGCTTGGAACACTGAATTATTTCATGGTGACTTCATTTTTCAGAGTTAATTACTGGACAAATATGCGAACATGTATCGTCTGGTATTCATTAGTATTACCTCTGCATGAATTTGTTTTTGAAGCAGGTGGGTTACGTCAATGGTGAGACACCTGAAGCTTAGGGAGATGACCTTGGTGGCCACCAATTCCGCTTGCAGACGAGGCCTGGCACTCCATCGCAATGGGAGGCAGAAATTCCACTCTTCCCATAAGTCAATGCCTCAACCACTCCAACGAATCGGTTCCAAAGGAAGGAAGAGGTTATGCCTGTACCCATGGAGACGCGTCGTCGGTGATCAGTGATCTGTCATCTTAAATTCACGTTACTCAATTTAAAATTTGCATTCCTTGTGTGCGATTCCTATATTCGAGTTGACATTCTGAAGCTCAACACAACCTCATGTAGATATTTTGGTGAAATTCTTAATAGAATAGCCTGATGAAAGTCTTAATGAGAGGACAATAGCCTTCAATAGTGAATAACTTTTTGAAAGAAAATTTTTTCTTGAAGTTTCAATCAAGTTGAGCTCTCAGGCTTGTTAGCATAGTGTGGAAATGGTTGCTACAGAATTTCGATTTTTTTCCCACTCATTTATTAGCTTACTGCTCCACTTCAGTCTGCTTCATTTGTTGAGCGTGTTTAGTCCTCAAAGTAAATAAATTGGCGTCTAAGTATGTAATTAATATACCTGTATATAAATACTTCGAAACAAATGTCTTGTGAATGGGAGTGAAGAAACTGATACCTAACCTCAATATATACAATTAGTTAGCTTGAACGAAGACCAAATTTTTCATAGTTGCCCTTGACCTAACCTAATGAGGCCTTGTCTATTCTAACCAACCTTAGCTAACGTGGTTTTAGTTCTAACCCCTGGCCTAATAACCCACCCTAACCTCGTCTAACTCCACTAATTCACGACAAGGTCACGTTGGGTAATTACTACCATTGAAGCGAACTTCCGCCCTTC